CCCCTCCCCCCTCCCCTCCTCCCATCCCACCCTCAACCCTATGTATCCAAATTCCTCCCATATTTTTCCGAAACAGAAATTCACAATATAAAATTTACAAAATAAATGACACTTTTTTGAAATAACGATAATCCCAGTTTTCAGACTTCTTATCAACTATAAAATACAAGCCGTGGGAAAGATCTTTCTTAAATTAAAAAAGTGCGCTTTCAAAATACAATACAATGTGTACCCAGCCTTAGCTGTAACGTTTGGTGTTGTTTGAAAGTCTAATCTTAATTGAGTTGTCATAACTATTTCGTTGTTGCCAAGTTTTAGATTTCATCTCCCAGAATTGCTTGGAATGCTGAGGTTGGTGTTCTTTTCATACATATATAATCTGTCGGTAATTACAGTCGAAAATATAATAATGTTTGAATAAAACTTTGTTTGACCTAACAATGTAGACTTTTAGTTAGTGTCGGAGATTTTTTTTAAGTAGCTGGTTGACTTCCTTTTCTGGTCAAAGACCTAACGGGTCTTTTATTTTCCTTTTAAGAGACAAGGGTTAGTTGTCTAGGTTCAGTTCATCAGTCTCCGAAGTTCTCCTGTCGTGTCGGAGTTCGTGTTATCATGGACACTATGATATTGAGTCTGATTTTGTTCCTGTTATTAGGTGTCATTTTGTGTTTGGAAAGATTCCATAAAACTGATTGCGCAAAGCCATCCTTGGGTCTCATTGTTTTTGCTTCATCATAAGCACCATGTTACAAGAGTTATGAACGAGGAAGAGGAGTCGTTGAACTCTCGGGCCTAAATGGAACATTAGGTTTACAGTGAAGAATCCCAACTATAGCTTGATATAGTTTTCCATGTTACTGACATACAATTTAGCAGGGCAATTGCATGAGGCACACCGTTATTTTTTCGCTTTTAAGGGCAAGCGGGCCAACCCAGATTTCGGGGGTTTTCAGAAATCTTGAACTCCACCAAAAGTGGGCATTTCTCTACCTATAGGAGAAGTTTGCTTTCATTGGTGAGTACATTTGTTTGGTTATAGAGAAAACTCTCCTTGTCTTAAAAAAAACCAACCCAACTAAACAAGAGTCCAAAAGCTTTAACTTCAATTTTCTCAAAACAACATTTTTCGAGATAGCCCCCTTGTGTTTAAAAGCAACCATTTATAGGTGGTATGGTTCTTGGTAGGGCTCTGGGCTACGGCTCTGGTATCGGTGTCTCTGGTGTAGCAGTTAGGCACGTCTATGGCGCATGCTGTAGGCCCGACTGATGGTTTTTAATAATAATAATAATAATGATGATAATAATAATAATAAAATAGAATATTTCTATAACGCCAACTCCCGTGAAAGCACAGCTCTAGCCGTTCTACATAAATGCATGTACTAACAGTATTCACCAACGCACACACACACACACACACACACACACACACACACACACACTCACACACACACGCACACTCACGCACACATTACATGCACACATGTGCACACACATGCATGCCAAACACACGCACTCACACACACATACACACACATACACACACATACACACACACACTCACACACACATCTACTTGCTTATCACACGTGCACTCTTACACATTGTTACGAAATGAGCTCATACAAATACATAATAAAATAATATACACAATGCAATTCGCAAAATACATAAATGGATATCCAGCTCCTCGGCTTTTTTGCTTTGACTGCGTGTCTCTCTCAGCCCAGGTGGGCACAGCCAGGCAGAGTCTGAACCCGCTTTGTAAATGACCTAATGCTGTTGGTTAAGGCTTAAAATATTTTTTTAAATGACTATTGACTGGTACAAAATCCTTCAGGGGCGTTTGGGAACTTGGCTTAGTTAGGGAATTTGTAAGGTTTTACAACTCCAGTTCAACATTCTTTCACGACCTTCTGTTCAAGACAATCACCCGTACTACAACCACTTTCACTCCACTCATCCCTTGCCTTTTTGAAATAATATCATAATGACAGTATCTAACAACCCACCTGTCTAAGACAAACGCTGTTCTCCTCAACAACTACTGACCTTCTTAAACATTGTCGACTGAACTTGGCTCCCTACTATCAGAGCTTAGTGTTACGTTCAAACCCCACTTCTTAAATAATGTTATAGAACCTGAACATAGCGAATCACGTAGTACATGAGGACTATAAATACACTATATTTTTACAGGACGCAGTGGAATCAGGCGCTCGTCAATTTCTAAGCATATTGGACTTATTGGTATTTTCTTAAAACTTGTTCATTTGTCTTTCTTTTGGTGCAAACGCACCAATCTGTCTTGAATAGAAATTGACGAGATATTTACCATTGAAGTAGTTGAGGGTCGAGGGTCGAGGGTCTTTTATTCAGAGGATAATTAGAAAGAAAACGGCCGCCAAAGTTTGGTGACTTCAAAAAGTTGAGAGCGTTTGGAAACGGCAATAAATATACATTTCGTGAGCCTTTAAACAAAGTCTTTTCCAACAAACCCCCACTGGAATGTGTTCTTATATGGACAAACAGTTTGTTAATTCTAAATAAAACTTCAATGAATATTTTACAATGGCCGGAAATATGTAGATTCCTTCAACGTCATTATTTTGAAAAGCGCCGGATTTCACCGCAATGCCACACAATTATAAATAGTTGTTGTTTCGACGTACAGTGTCGACAGGGGTGAAGAACCGAATTAGCACAGCGTGAAAAAAGTTTGTGTGTGTGTGTGTGTGTGTGTGTGTGTGTGTGAGAGTGATAAATAGTACAGGTATTTAATTTACACATGCAAACGCTTCCTGTTTTCAGAAATCTTACGGCCAGAACTTCCGGCAGGCGTTACATTTAATTATGAAGTTCGTACCAACGGTTCCATCTGTGATGCAGCGTGGTGAAATCAGGCGCTCGTTAAAATCATGAAATTGAAGAAACTGGCGTTTTTTCCGCTGGTTTGACAATTTTTTATTGAATGTTTTTTACAACGCCTTTAAGGTGAATTCAAAATATAATTATGCGTGGATTTTACTGAAAATCGTTGATTTAAGGCACACAAAATGTAAAATTTGTAGTATACAAGGACAGCCAAGCTTTGGAAGTCAGCATATTTGGCAGCCATTTTCTCGCTAATTTTACCCTGAGTTAGGTGACCTCCACTTCCTTCAGTCACTAATATCTTGACTTCGATTCTTGATAGAGGCGTACTTTTTTCGCCAAAAAGAAGACAAATGAATAAGCTTTAAGTTGATACCAATAACCCCACAAGCTAAAAGCCTGTCGAGTGCCTGATTCCCCCGCGTCCTGACACATCTGTTTTTACCTTTCATGACGTCTCAGCAGATGCAAACAGTTGTTTCCGGTACCCGTATTTTTCACAACAGCATATTTTCTTACATTGTGTGTCCAACTCGATGTTTTCATTTCCTGTTCAAGACTATTTAGGATTTGATTTATGATTTAGATATGAACCTTTGTTACCCATATCTTTGATTCAGAGTCACCACTTCCAAGCAAGCGGAAGCTGGATTGTAGCATTTAGGATAATATTCCGTCACATGCAGATGCCCCGAGTTGCGAGTATTTTTATCGATTATCTAGATAAGCATTTTGATTTTTCTGCGGAATTGCTGCGTCCCTCAATCCGAATTACCCCTGACGACAGGACTGAAGCCCGTTTTCTAAATGATCTGAACTGTGTCGATTTGAAATGGGGGGGGGGGGGGGGGGGCTTTTAAAACATCTACACAAAAAACAACAAATTTAACCTTTATCCTCTATTTAAAGGCATCACTTTAAAGAGGGTTTGGATTACTTTTGAAAAGGCTTTTTAGTATAGGGGTTAGGGTTATGTCTTTTGTGCCACCTGTCAGATAACGTTTTCCGGTACCAAAACCTGCACCACACTTTGCGAATTAGAAATAATGAAGTCGACAGAGAAGCCCGCAAGCTGCTCACATCCTCAAGCAGAAACGAAACTTTTAAATGCTAAAAATATACTAAATTCCTCTCTGTCAAAATTAGTTTCACTTTCTAAAGCAGAAGCCACAAATCATCTTTATCCGTATGTTTTCTATTTTTCTCTAAGAAATATTATTTTCTGCTGATACATTGGTCATAATGAGACATTAGGGCTATAGCTAAAACCACAAATCAATCATATTTACAATTATTGGTTCTATTTCTCTTTAAGGTAATCGTCAGGTTGAAGCAAACAGCAGCCTCAAGATGATCAAATAAGTTGTGTCGAAGGGGGTGCATAAAATGTGCTATCAGGACATTCATGTGTTTGTTCTCTAACAGCATTCTCCCAGCTCAGCTATATTTTTCTGCAAGTGTCCTTCAGGCTTTTTTCGTAATATTTAAGTATTCCTACTCATAATGTTAATAAGCTATTTCGTAACTCCCTTGTACATTTGCTGACAGTTTAGCATTAATAATACATTTATAAAGTTGTTTATTGTTTATGTTGTTGTTGCTGTTGTGGTTACAGTTGTTGATATTAATATTGCTGTTGCCGTTGTTGTTACAATTGTTAATTTTGTTGTTGTTGCTGTTGGAGGTGCGGATGGGGATGGTGATGTTGTCGTTATTGCAGAGTTTGTTGCTGCTGTTGTTTTTGTTGTTTTTGTTGTTGTTGTTGTTGTTGTTGCTGTTGTTGATGTTGTTGATTTTGTTATTGTTACAGTTCCCAAGAAGTTATCATTTCATTTTTGCTATTTCCATTCTCCTATTGAACCAAATCTGGTGCCTTTAATTTTCATTTAACAATGTTGCTGATTGTCCGGCACTCACACCTATCATACAAAAGAACAGAGCAGTTTTGTAAATCTTCAATATTCTGACTGTTGAAGCCAGTTTGTTGTTAAAGCTTGTTCGCTGTTACTGTTGATGTACACTTCCTCGATGGATTTTCTTTATTTGTGCAGCTAATCCAGTTCTAGTTGTTGTGTACTGTGTATATGGCAACTGAATGTAATAGTAAATAGGATTTCACAGACAGTTCATCATACCCCTGACTATTGATTATATATAAAAAGCATGTTTTGTTATTACAATCTTTTTGTACAAGAATGTGAGCTTTAGTCATAATTTTATGACTGAACTGAAAGGGAAAACAAAAACAAACAAAACAAACAAATAAACAAGCAAACAACTTTTTTTTTAAAAACGCCTGTGTTTATGATAATATTTTTTATCCAACCGGTTCAAGAATATCTTAAAATAACCTGGCAATGAACATGTTATATATATATACAAGCCGAGAACAATATCGGTCCGGCTGCTCCATAGCCAGCACCATGTCGATGTGGCAAACAACCTGCTTAAGTTCACAATTTGAGAATAGTCAATAATTACACACCCACGCCCCCAAAAGTTTTATCTAAGGTGCACGTTCAACATCACAAAAATGCAGGTAATGCTATGGCCAAGGCTTACAATTTTCTCGATTTTCATGATTCCTAATAGGAACAACGCAACAGAAATAGGTTTAAATCTCTGGTGTAAAACGTAGGCAAACGGATTCAAGTGGATGGCTTGCGACACCGACAACTATAGCGCGGTCAAAAAATTGTTGCGCAATTTATTCTCAAATATCTCTTCAACGGGTGAATCAATGTCATCAATACTTTGCACAACAGTTTGAGTCAATTTGTTTTAACAAAGTCATATTTTTTCCCGAACAATTGGGGCTAGATTTAAAAACTTTTCTTCATAAATGTATATACAATACTTGGAATCTCTGTCACATGATAAATCGGATTGTTCACAGCACTTCCCGCTTCTCACACAAATTTTGATTACGCATACGGCCTACGTCACAATTTTAGTGGCCAAACCTGTTATAAGAAATTAGTTTTATAGTGAACGCACTTTTTGCACTAATGATTCTCAAAACATGCATTCAATAAGCATAATGTCCCGATTTAAAATACACAGGACGGACTTGCTAGTAAAAGCTATTTTGCCAGGCTGTAAACACTTTAAAATCTACGGAAACCCCCCACTTGGATTTTTTATTAGTATTTATTAAGGAATTTTCTAGAGTGCAGCTAGCAGTTGTCCACAAAAATGTTGATCTGTTAAGACACATTGATACAAGTAATTTTGCAAAAATTGGAGAACTCATGTCCAACAGTTAGGGAGATATTTGACAAAAAGTTGGGCCACGAACTTTTGACCGCACTATAAACCTTTTCTCGGGCGTTCTTTTTTTTTTCTCTGTATTTTACTTAGGACGATTGAACGGTTGGGGGCCTGTCGACGTCCGTTGAGGAGTCGGTTTGTTATTGCTGGCTGGTGGTGGTAGGATTATCAGTTCATCATCGTCTGGGACTATAAATAACGACGTTTTTGAAATCTCAGGAGCCCCGTATCCAGGTGTGCTTGCTCCTGAGGAGGGCCCAGTGGGAAGGAATTGTGAGTTATCACTGGTAGGATTGTCTGAACCAGCGCTGCTTCTAAACTGATCGCTAACGTCAGGACTAGAAGTTTCTCCGTAACTTCTGTCAAAATCTGTCTCACCGCCATCACCGTCGTTTCTTGAGGAAAATATTTCGTCACCTGTACTGTCCGAATACATTGTAGCAATCTCTGGTTCCTCTCTGTATCTGTCTCCAGAATCTGCTTCGGCGGGAGAATCATAAAGGTACGAGTTTTTCGGAGGGGGTCTCTTTTCTAGAAATTCGTCGTTTGAAGGACCGTAGTCAAGGTTCTCTATATATCCATCAGGGGCGTTTTCACCAGGGTGGTAAGAACCATCAGAGTCACTAGAATAAGTATCTCGTGGAGGAGGGGCGTCATAACTCTCTGGGTAGTCGTATTCAGTGGGTTCAAACCTTGACGAAGATGAATCATCGTCTGAGGGAGAGTATCGATACGAGTCATTTTCGTCTGGGTCAACACTATCGTCCTCGTAGTACAAGTACGGGCTGCTGTCATCGTAATCGGATCCTTCTCTGGACAACCGGTCCCCGTCTGATGAGTCAGGAGTATCGTCGTCGTAGTAGTAGTAATCGTTTCCACGACCTTCGGAGGAGTAATCGTCCGTTGTATACCCGTCGGCGGGCTCGTTGGGTGAGTACGGGGTGTAGGATGAAGACGATGAAGATGGAGAAACTTTAGAGTTCGAGTTGTAAGGAATGTTTTCATTTTTCTCTATAGCTGCTTCGCGTCCTCCGCTATTGCTCCCATCGTTTGATCGACCCTCTGAATTGGAAAACTTGTTTTTGTTATTTCGATCTAACGTAAAGTCGTCGTTGGATTCCCTATCGTAGTCAGAATATCTGTAGTCGTTTCGATCATCATTCGGACTGCGGCTCGATGCCACTACATTGTCATCATAATCGTCTGTTGAACGGGAAGGGTAGTCGTAGTTTTGTTTGGGATAATCCTCCTCAGATACAGGGTAGTCATAGTAATCGTAGTTGGAATTCTCACCCTCTTTTTCATCATCATCATCTCCGTCATAGTAATAATCGGAAGGATTCGACGTCGAGTCTGTGGTGTCGTATTTTGAATCCATATATCCGGAATCAGAGTCAGAGAACCGGTTACTCTGATCCGAGTCTGAATCACTTCGAGTATACTTGGAGTTCGAGAAGGAATCAGAATTCTGATTGTCGTATGTGTCACTGTAATCATCCCCTACCACCATACTATTGGCATAAGAGCCCCCCATATCTCCCAACAACGACGCGTCAAATTCTTTTTTAAACCCCCCAGATGGCAGGACAGCGGCAGCAGGGTTCCCAGCCTGGTTCCTGAAGAATATATCCGACAAAGACTGATCTCCTCTATCCGAACCCTTCGGTGGTCCTGAGGCACCTGCTGATGACGTCAGACCACGTGACAGTAATGACGACCCGGGCAGGAAAGGCATCCCAGAGCTGGCGCTAGCGAGTTCAGAAGGAGACGTCACGGAGGATGATGGCGATGAGATGACGGGACCGGCGACGCTGAGCGATTTTTTGTTGGGTGATGATGACGATTTCACAGACAGGGGCACCAGGGAGCTTGGAGATGTAGCCCCAATTCCAGAAGGGGCACCACTATCACCACCAGCACTGCTGAATGCCAGATCCGGTTTGAGTAAACCGGGTGAATTATTTCCGGTTGCCGGGCTTGATTTCGGACCTCGGCTGAAGGCTCCGCTTGTGTTGGGGAGAGTGAAGAGAGAACCTTTGGATCCCCCGAGAGGAGACGGATAGCCCAGGCCGCTTGACTTAGACGGGGAGGCTGCAAAGCAAGGAGAATATTAAACACAGTTGTATGGCTTCGTGGCTCTCGTCAAAGTAGTTAAAAAATGAAGAAATTGACATGTTTCCATCTGTTAGAATAACTTTATATATTTGATTATTTTAAAAAAAATTTTGGCTTAACACTTTCTTTAATGTTCATTTAAAAAGACAATTTTGAACTTATTTTACTGAAAACTTTGAACAAAAACACAAAAAATGTAAATTTTCAGTTTCCAAGGAAGGCAAGTTCTGGAAGTACGCCTACTCAAACTTTGGCAGCCATTCTCTCGTTAATTTTACCCCTGACATCAGACAATCTGCACCTCCCTCAATCGCAAACATCGCAAACATCACAAAATATGTTAAATTAAGATAGAAGGGTATTTTTCAGTATAAGAGAGACAAATGAACAGGCTTCAAGCTGATACCTATTACTCTATATGCTGCAAAATTGAAAGTTCCCGATCTCACCGTCTAATGATTCGTTTTTATAACGTATACAAGTAAGAACATTGCTTCAATAACTTTGAAAAAAAATACGATCGGTGTCTGTGAATAAGCTATTAGGCGCTTTGCAAGAAGATGTTTCGATCCCTGTATGGGGAGAATTTTTATCAAGAATCTTTTTGGTAGGAGCTTGTATTCCTGTCAGCCTGGTATGGTCCTTAAAGGCAGGGTCGAAATTTGCTTCCTTACGGATATAAATTATGTCAATTGGGACGTACAAACATCTACATGAAAAACAAAAACAAACACAGATTCAAGAGAAAGGTGAAAAACATAGGAAAAGCTGATTTTTCAATCCCTGAGATATTGTGCTGAGGTAAGGCAATCATAGAATAGAAGCAGTTCAGAATAATAGATTACAGAAGATTTGGAGACGAGATAATGTGCTGTTAGTCCATTAGAGATCTAGAAAAATGGACAAGAAGTACAAATATTTGAGATCGCCAATTTGTCACAAACTCCTCTAAGTAGTTTAAAATTAAAGGTAAAAGATAGTATGGCATACGTCAAACACAACAAACATACAATACAGAATGGTAGAGATAGTATGGGTTAATCGCTCTTATAACCACTGGTAACTTATAGTTAAAAAAGGGACATATCTGTAGATTCCTAGATCAATCTCCGAAAGAGTTGATCAGAATGGGCGTAGAATCTTGAAAACTTTAAAACTAATCTTTAGGAAGCAAAACAAAGTGAACCGCACCAAAGTTCAGCACACTTAGCAAATAGAACAACCCACGCAGTAAGATCATTGAAGTGAGAACGATTATCAGACTTACCATTTAAATTAAACAGAAAAAAAACAAAATACATGTGGGGAAAAATGATTTTTTTCTGTTTTGGGATTTTAATATAATTAATTAATGATTTTACTATGTATTTTTTATTTTCTATATTTTTTTTTATATTTAAAGACATCGGTTTATTTTGTTGGTTTAAAAAAATGATGTCCTTTTTGGGGGAGGGGCGCAGAGTAGAAGAGCTATTTTATTTCTAAAGGGTAACATTAAGTAAGAACACTCGGTAACCTTAGGAAGACAGACAGCCGACTTGAGGCAAGAGTAATGACAATAGTTATAGAATGAAACAAAGCAGAGGTGGATGAGATAAATAACTGAATACAAAATGTAATAGAAATGATCCATAACGGCAAGCTATTGTCGAGGATAAAAGCAGTTGTCTTAGAAAGGTGGACGTTTGATACAGTGTCTTATGTCGTAGGAATTAGACTCTATGGTTCTTATTTTTATTCA